CCTCCTCCTCCTCATCATCATTCATCATCATCATCATCATCATCATCCTCATCCTCATCCTCATCCTCATCCTCATCCTCATCCTCATCCTCATCCTCATCCTCATCCTCATCCTCTTCCTTCCACCTCGTTATTCCTCCTCCTCCTCCTCTTCCTCCTCGTGCTTGTTTCGCGTTTTTCGTCCTCTTCCTCTTTCTCCTCCGATCGTTCCTCCTTCGCGTTCCTCTTTCTCTGGCCTTCGGGGGCGCTCCTCGTGGCCACGGCGGGACGCGGCTCGAGAATCGTGCCAGGACGGCATGGCATGCGAGCGTTGTCGTTGCCTCCCCCCTCACCCCCCTGCCCACGCCGCAAGCCCTCCACGCTGGACGGGTCTTTGGCTCAAGACCCGAGCGCCCCCCCACGCGAAGTCTCGGTGGGACCCGGAGCGAGGAGGGGGGGGGGGAAGGAGGCTCCCGCGGGCACCGCGCACTCTCCTCCGCAGGCCGGCGCCCCAGGCGAGCTCCGCGACGAGGTCGGCGGCAGGTGGGCGGTGGTCCCCAACGAGTACGTGCGGCTGGAGGGGTACCAGTGGGCCCGCGGCAGGACGGTCGCCCCGGCCCGAGCGCCCCCGGCCCGAGCGCCCCGCGCGCGAGCGCCCCGCGCGCGAGCCCCAGGCCCGAGACCAGGCCTCGGGCCCAGGCCTCGAGCCCAGGCCCGAGACCCGAGACCATAGCAAGGCCAGGCCCCTCCCCCTCCCCACGTGCGCCTCTGCGAATCGTGGGCACGTCGCGGCGGAGGGCTCTGGGCCGTCTTCGGCATCTCGGGGGCGCTCTCTGCCGGGCCCCAGGACCGTCGGGCAGGACTCGGGATGGCGAACATGCCCTGGGGTTGGGGCCGAAAACTCTTGAGGGGTGCACCTTGTGAAACATCACGACGTCGGAGGCCAGGGTCTGGGGAGGGGCGGGCATGCAGACCTCGAAAAACCGAGCCCGAGGTTTCTCGCAAGGTTCTGCGCCTGGAGGCTGCTTTTGGTTCGCGAGATCGTCGGAACATACGGCTTGGCTGACCTCACGCACACGTGACTCGGGAAGGCGGGGAGGGGGGGAGGGGGCATGCAGACCTCCAAAAACCGAGCCCGAGGTTATTAATTTTCTGCGCCTGGAGGCTGCTTTTGGTTCGCGAGATCGTCGGAACATACGGCTTGGCTGACCTCGCGCACGCGCGTGGCTCGGGAAGGCGCTTCCGCGCCACCGATGGGCGAGTGAGGCCGTCGGCTCCGAAGGGGCTGGCCCAGGCTGGAGCCCCGCCGTGGCCCGGCCTGGCGGGAGCGCCGCTCCAGGCAGGCACGCCGTGCACGAGGGCGGAAGTGGGTCAGGAGGGGAAAAATCGCACAGACACCATTCATCGTCGATTCCCAGGAAAATCTGGGGGGCCAACAAATATACACCACCACCACCTCCCTCCCCCCCTCCCTCTCGCTGGACAGAGGAGAGAGGAGGAATCGACGTGGTGGTGGTGTACACTCTTTGGGCCCCCAAGATCCAGTCCAGGCGGCGAGCAGACCCGACGCCCAGCGCTCCAGAGGTGGGGAGAGAGAGAGAGAGAGCGCCTGGTAGGCTTTGACGTTGTAGGCTCAGACGTTTGGCGCAACCTGGGAAAGGTGCACCCCGGGCGACGAGCGAGGACAGAATGACGCTGACGTCGCCACCCAGCCCGCCAGCAAGGACGAGGGAAGAGACGAGACGATGTGGCATCCCCACGTCGACGTCCGCCAAGACTTCCCCGCCTAGCGGCCCACGGGCGCAGGACTTCCCCCGCCATTTTCTGCAGAGTCCTCAGCACCGCAGAGACTACCAGGCAGTGAGATTGCCAGGAGGCCCCGAGGCGAGGGTGAAAGAGATAGCCCTTGGGCAATGGTCGGGGCTTCTGGGGGACCGCGCACTGAAATAAATCAAGACGTCGCAGTTCTGGGGGAAGGGAGGGTGGAGGCGGCGGAGGAGGAGGATGACGAGGAGGAGGAGGAGGAGGAACAGGAACAGGAACAGGAGGAGGAGAAGGGCTCGAACCGGGCGGGCCAGATCCCGAGCCCTGGGCCAGGGGGCGAGCGGGCATCTGTCGGACGGGGCTGGGACGGGGACGCATCCGCTCCAGGGCGCCCGGGAACGCCCCTGAGCGTGCCGGAGCGCTCTGAGAAGGCCGTGGCGCCCGAGAGATCGTCCAGAGCCGCCGGATCTCAGAGATTCTCGCTGGCGCACTGGGCGAGCTTGAGAAGATAGTCTTGTTTGGCGGTTGCCTTCTTTCTCTTCCTCCACCCTTTCTTCTGCCTTGACGCTGCTCTGGTGCCCTTCTTGTGGTAACCTCCCCCGGGTCTAGCCCCGTCCTGGCTTCGTCTCAGCGCGGGGATCTGGCCAGAGCGCGGGCTGCCGGCCTCTCCCGCGGCAGGACGGCGTGGGGGGGCGGCACGGTGTACAGCGTGGCCCGGTTCGGCAGCCTCGGCCAGGGCGTCCTCGTCCCCTCCTTCTGCAGGCCTGCCGCCGCGGAGAGGGGCCGAGGAGCGGGGGAGGGGGGCCAGCGTTCGGGTGTTGCTGGACGTGCGTTGCCCCGTGCCCGATGTGCCCCAGGATTTCCAAGGCGGCCCCCACGGCCTCTATTGGAGCACCCCTCGCGAGGCCCAGAGTTGAGCGAAAAGCTGGGGGCGCCTTGGGCCAGGGGTGCCTTTAGCCTTTATCGGAAACTGAAACATATATATATATATAGATGTGTATATATATATGTATTACCAGTGGCGGGCTGTTTTTCAATCCCAGGACTTCTTGAGGGTCGAGGACGACGTTGGGGTGGTGTGGTGAATTTTTTTTCCCCCGATGTCCCAAGGAAACAACGAAACATGTATACACCAGGGTCCCGTATACACCCAAATGCAGGGCCCGAAGAAGCATCAGTGTGTAGAGTTCGATTCTCTACTTTAGCACCCCCCCCCGACACGTCCGGGGAGCTCGAGGCTCGATCCTGGGATCGAGGGTCGAGGATCGAGCCCAGGGTCTGGGTACAGGACCCCTTCCCCAGCAGGGGTCCCTGCAGTCAAAACTCTTGGGTAAAAGGTCGACTCAGGAGAGGAAAGAAACACAGACACAATTCATCGTCGATTCCCCAGAAAGTATGGCAAAACATGGGAAGTGAATCTGGGAAAATATGGGAATCCTGTAATTTGTGTCTATTTATTTGTGTGTCCCAGGGCCCCTTCATCCACGCCGGTTGCGGAAGGGTCTCGGTGCTCCTCGGGTCCTTCCATGTTCCTCTCGTGGCGCAACTGATGCCCAAGAGGGGCTTTGTTCCCTTTCGAGGGCTCCTTACAGCCACACCTTGACTGTACCCCTTCCGCCAGGGCAAGTTTTACATCCTGGATCGATATTCGATGCTCCCGGGGTCCCAGAAATGGTTCGGGGGTGGACAGAACCCCCACCCTGACACATCGATTAGTGAATTGTCCGTTTTCGGTTCTCGAGAGGGCGCCGCGGTTGTCATTTTCCAGGCTTGCGGCCGCCAGGTTCGGGCCCGAGGTCGTTTTCACTGAAACGCATTTTACTCAAGGGGCTCCTGCCCATTCCCGAAAATGGTCTCCGGGGCCGACTGTCGAGCGACGGAAGAAAACGGGGTTGGCTGCGCGAACATTCGCGCGCAAGGTCGCGCGTGCGAGCCCTCGTCTCCAAGCGGTGTGCCACGCTGGTGGCCAGCGTCGTGCCACGTCGTCAGGTCGTCATGCGTTCTCGCGTTTGACTTAAGTCGGGCATGCCCTCTTCAGGAGGAAGATCCAAAATAGTCAAACATAATAGGGGGACGATTTTGTCGACAATTGTTTGATCATTTTTGGAATCTTGTTTTTGACTATTTGTAAGCTGTCCTCCAACATCTGCCTGTAGGGGGACATGCCGGACCTGACTTTTGACCCCTTTCTAGTCGTCGCTCAGGCGAGGAGAAGACGCTACAGTGGAGACCCGTGCCAAAAAGCACCCTGCTCGCCTCCTGGGTTTCTTGGGTTTCGATGGTTTTGCGATGGAAAGGGTGGCGTTCCCACACCAGAGATGAGTGGACGTCCTGGGGTCTCGGGGTTGGGTTTCTGTTGGAAGGTTTCTTGTGGTCGGGCCCCCTGCTGTAGCACCGAAGCGAGCCACGGCGTCGGAAGTCTGGGCCTCCCTCGGGACCCGCTTCCCCTCCTGCGCCAGGCTGGCGGCCCCGCCTGCGCGGCTGGTCGTCGACGGCCCGTCCAGGCCGGCTGGAGGGGAGGGAGGACAGAGGAGGACCGCGGAGGACGAGGAGGATAGAGGATGATGAGAGAGGAGGATGCGGAGGAGGAGGAAGGTTGGGGAGGATTGGGGATGATTTTGGGAGGATTGGATAGGACAGAGAAATAGAAGGATGAGGAGAGGCATGCGGATGAGGATGTGGATGAGGATGATGGTGACAGTGGTGATGGTGATGGTGATGGTGATGATGCTGCTGATGATGATGGTGTTGATGATGATTATGCTAATGCTGATGATGATGCTGATGCTGATGCTGATGATCATGCTGGCGGTGGTGATGATGATGATGACGACGACGATAACGATAACGATACCGACGATGATGCTGCTGCGACTGGTGGTGATAATGATGATGATATTGTTGATGATGATGATGATGACGATGCTGACGATGCTGACGATGGCGGTGACGATGGCGATGACGATGACGATGATGACGTCCACGACGACAGCGATGATGATGGTAATGATGGTAATGATGGTGGTGATGCAGAGGATGAAGATAATGATGCTGCTGATGTCGGGAATGATTGTAATGATGATGATGATGATGATGATGATGATGATGATGCTGATGATGATGATGATGATGATGATGACCTGATGATGATGGTGGTAGTGGTCGTGGTGGTGGTGATGATGACGACGACGATACTGATAACGATAACGACGATGCTGCTGCTGCGACTGGTGATGATGATGTTGATGATGATGATGTTGACGACGATGATGATGCTGACGATGACGATGGTGATGATGGTGAGCATCATGCTGATGCTGCCGATGATGCTGATTCTGATGATGATGAAGGTGATGATGAAGGTGATGATGAAGGTGATGATGACGACGACGACGATGCCGATGACGACGGTAATGATGATGCCGATTCCACTACTGATGATGTTGATGATGCTGATGCTGATGCTGATGCTGATGATGATGATGATGATGATGATGCTGATGATGATGATGATGATGATGATGATGATTAGGAGGAGGACGAGGACGAGTTCGATGACGAGGACGAGGATGATGCTGATGACGATGATGATGATGATGACGATGATGACGACGATGGTGATGATGATGATGATGATGATGATGATGATGATGATGATGATGCTGATGCTGATGATGATGATGATGATGATGATGATGCTGATGACCATGCTGATGATGCCGATGAGATGCTGATGATGATGCTGATGACTATGGTGGATGCGGTGGCGATGATGATGAATATGATGATGGTGATGCCAATGCTGATTGATACCGGTGATGAGTATTGAGAAGTTCTGGCCGCTCTGCACGCACATGATCACCATTGGACCCTCTCGCATCCGTGTGTACATCCATGCCGACATAGACACTTGGCCGGAGATCATGGACAAGTTCCGTTTGGAGAACAACCTCAGCAGGGCAACCCGTCTGGGTTGCTGCCCCTCGCATCATGGCGGACGGCTTCTTGCAGCGCCAGCGGCCACTGTAACCCAGCTGTTGGCGCACAGAAGGCGCAGCAAGAAGAGGTCCTGCCCTGGCGACCTGGTGGCCGAGATTGCGCCTTGCGGTGATCTGGGGAGAGAGACGGTGCTATTCTGGACAGGCTTGCGCAGCACGCTTGCAACAGCGTCGGCCTGAACTTCGCCAAGGCCGTGGACCCGAACCAGCCGAAAGTGGGAGGGCACTACCTCATCCTGCAATCCCCGTACGCCCGCTGGTGCCCTGAAGGTCCTGGGGAAAGCCCACAGTGACGCCCGTCGTTTGTATGCCGCCGTGCATGGTCAGTCAATCATGGTGGGCTCTGACCACGTCGTGCCGGAGGTGACGAACGACTTGGTCGAGCTGCACGTCCAGCGGGGGAGCGACAACGCGAGCGGGGCACCTGGGTGCTCCCGCCGCCCGCAGCCGCACCGAGCACCACCCCGGGATGCACCGTACGGAGCTCAACGCATGGACTTTGAGGGGGAGGAGTGAGGAGGAGGAGGAGGAGGAGGAGGAGGAGGAGGAGGAGGAGGGGGAGGGGGAGGAGGATTCGTCTTTCCGCGGCGTGTATGCGATCTCTGTCGTCTTTCGGGTCCACACAGCGCCTTCCGTGCCGACCAGTGTCGTCCACGACCGTCCTAGCCACGTGGGGACCATGCCTTCGTTTTCTGCTCCCTCGACCTTTCCTCCGTGCGCCCGCGATTCCCGCGTTCGCCCTGCCATTCCTTCGCTCTGCCTCACTGCGCACAGTTTCCTGCAGTCAGCCACGTCTCACGATGACTACTCGGACAGGCCGCTGCAATTCCTGCTTCATCGGCACCTCCATCGAGCTCTTGGCCACGAGGTTCTTGATGTTCTTCTTCCACTGCTAGGCGACGCGACTGTTGGGGTCCTTGTAGCTTCTTCTGCCCCCGCGGTACCGGGTACTATAGCTCGTCGAGGGCAGTGTCAAGGGACATTGGAGTCACCACCTACTCACAAGCTTTGTTTGCTACCGATCCGGGGCGGCATGCCATAAAGGCGGCATACGTACATCAACATCTGAAACGATCGGCAGTTCTCCTTCCTACCGAGACGCATGGGTCGGAAGCCGCGTGTGGTACTTGGAGGCCACCCTCAGGAAACACAGCGTGGTGGCAACAGGGCCCCGTATGCGGACATTCTGGCGTCGAATTTGTTGTGCGGGACGCTTTCCTGAAGAATTTGGAGATGCGTCCTACGTTGGTTCACGTCTGGCGCGGGCGTGTTGCGAAACTCTGACGGGGGTCTGCCAGTTCTCTGGGCCTCATCGTTGCGTACTTCCCGTCAGGCTCGAACAGCTATCCGAACGACCTCGGCCTTGCAGGTGCTCCTGCACGGCATCGTTTCCAGTGCGCGAAATTCCCAGCGCTTCGGGGTCATCTGCGCCATCCCATTGCTGACAACGTGGTTAACAAGATGGACCGGCTTACAGCTTTAGGCGGGGATTTGAATTACGCCACTTGTGATGGGGATAGGGTGTCGCTGACGAATGCTGCAACGCCGTCTGGCCGTCGTGATGCAAGAGAGGAAGTTCATATTCAGACAGTGTTGGGGTCCTGGCACAGCCTGTCCGAATCGTACCACGGGGCTGATACGCATTCGTCCGCATCTGCACGATCCAGGTTTCCGTGCGTGGACTCGAACTGCCACGTTGCTGAGCAGCTCGGCCGCAGGGTGCATTCCACTGGCTCGGAACGGCGCCCGGAGCTGTCACGCCATCGCGCCGTGCGCGTGGCGCGACGTGCCCCCGAGCGTGACGGGGCGGGCCCCGGCCGATCCCATCGCACTTTTTTTTCTTTTTTACAGTGGCTTTCATCGACGTCTCCTAGATTAACCAGGGTCGGTTCAAAGAGAACCCGACCATGAGCCCCTTCAAGAAGTTGTGCAGGTTTACGAGTGCATGGAGCGTGTCGCCCGCAGGATCGCGGCTGCGTTGCCCTCGCTTTCACCCGTTATGGGGGCCGAGGATCGTTTGGGCGTCGCCCCCCAAACTGACCTGGACCATCGAGGACGGCAGTCCTGCTTAGGTTTCTGCGTGCCTTAGTCGTCTTCCTGAGCTCCGCAGCCACGTGGCGAATCCTCATGCCTTCCCCTTTGAAAGCCTCGAGATCCTAGGAGCGGTTTCGCGCCCGCGCGGTTCCGCTAGCCCGTGAACGCGCCCTGTGCGATTTCATTCGGTCGCGCGAGGATTTGGCCGAAGAGGACGCTTCCAGGCGCAGATTGCTTGGCAGCAGAACGCGCGATTAATTAATTCGCCGCCTCCTCCCTGGCCGCGCGAGCTGCCTCAGCGCCGTGCTTCAGGGCGACGGGGTGCCGATCCCTCTGCGATGCCGACTCGCCCATCAAGCGCTGGTCCAAGGTCTTCGAGGGCAAAGGGCATCAATGCTGGACTCCTTGGGCATTGGCGTGATGACGGCGCTGATCACCGACCTTTGGTTGATCTTCTGCCCGAGGGCCTTCGCATCCGTCGCGCCTGGAAGTGCCGCATTCTGGAAGCCTTGCAGTTATCCAGCAACTCTGCGCCAGGGCGGGGTGGAATGCCATTCGGATTGCGGCGGCGCTGCCCGACAGTCGCCGCCAGCATTCTACGCGAGGCTGCGATATTTATGTTTTGCGACGCCGGGGGCGAGCTCTCCGACGACGACCGGAAAGTGTTCGACAGCAGCTTGCTCGTCTTGTTGCCTAGGTCACCATCCGGCGCATCTGCGCCAGGAGAAGGCGACTATGCGCCCGACAATACCCGCGCGCAAAACGTCTCAAACACATGCAACCAGCTGCTCTGCAACGCTACCCGCATCGCGATTGAGCCGAGCAGAGGCGTTTTCGACTGAGCGTGGATTCCTGAATGACCGCTCGCTGCATGCGAATCTGGTAAACATCGACACCTCCATGGTGGAGGCTGCCGTGGTCGACGAGCATGGGGGGGGCGTCCTACTTCGACTTCGCGGCTGCCTTCCGCCCGCGAAGCATTCCTTCGCGCGCGCGGCCTTTGACGAGCTAAATTGGCCAAGGTGGCAGTTGCAGTTTATCGACATCTTCTACCGCTACAACCACTGCGACGCAGTTGTTGGCGAGGCCTGGCGGCGTGGATTTGCGATCGCCCGCGGAGTCTGGCAGGGGCGCGCTCTGTCCCCTGCCCTCTTTGCGGTAGTCATCGACGTGCTGGTGCGTCGGCTAACCCGGTTTCTCCTGGACAGTACTTCGCGGGACTATGCCGACGATTTTGCGTTGGCCAGTCGCAACGTATGGAGCGATGTCTTGGTCTTGGAGCCTTTGATTTCTGAGTTCGAAAGGATGCCAGGTCTAGCCGTGAGCGCGAGGGAGTCAGTCTTCGCGCCACCCGACCTTGCTTCTGTCGATGAAGCCCGTGCGCTTCTCACCGCTGTCGCCCCTTCGCGGGGGTCACTGAAGATTGCCTTCCTCGCCGAGCACCTCGCATTCGTTGCTGGCCCAGGTCGGGG